TTGTTGAAATTTTATTTAAAAAACGTCTAACTGCAAAATGGGGTGTTATCTTCANCCGAACATACATATATATATATATATATATATATATATATATATATATATATATATATATATATATTTACATTTACAATATTCTATAAATTCTACCGAATGTTTGGCGTTAATATGTTCGTAGTTCGTTTTTTCGATTTTTCTCACTAAAGTTTTTTGGTGAACGTTTAGTTTATTAAAATTCAAAATAAACTTATTTTTCGAATTCATGCTGCAAATAAGGCCATATTTCGATTCCGAATGAATCATCATCAGTGCTCCTTGCTGTATATATAGGGAAATATTGACTTTGTCAAGATGAACTTTGACGTTGTAAAAATTAACTTTGGTGTTGTAAAATTGAACTTTGATGCGAATTAGGTGTCAGGTTCAAAGTTCGCATCCATTTTGTGGTGTTGTGAGAATGACAGAATTGTTTCCAAGGTTAGTCCTAATATTTTCTGGTTGTGTTCTAGCGGTAAAAGCATGTTTATCTTAATTTTGGGATGGTAGTTGTATTGCGATGTAGGAGATGTGAAGAGTGAAACTGTTGATTTAGAAGTGGAGATTTTTAAATTTCTGCTATTGAAGAAATCATATAACTTCGGAAGGTAGCAATTGAGCCGGCGAGCCAAAATATCTGCATCTGGACCGATGTGTAGATTGAGAAGTCGTCGGCCTAGGAGATGATTTTGATGTCTTGAGGCGGAGCGGGTGCTTTGGCTACATAGTAGTTGAAAAGAGTAGGTGAAAGAACAGAGCCCTGGGGTACTCTCGAGCGAATGATGCGTTGTTTGGAAAGATGTTGGTTCTGATGCAACAGCCTTCTTGTGGTGGAACCGATTGGACCGATCGACATACCTTCTGTCGACCGCACACAACAAACCGTTGCAACACCCCCTCCCAACCTCGGATGTCAATTTTGGGTTTTTGTTAACGGAGCAGCCTCTTCCGGTCTACCTGCTCCGTTGTCTCCTTCTCAGGGCCGAAATCGATTCAAACTCGGGTTCTCCTAAGATCCGGATTTGTCTTGCCTGCTATCAACAAATCAACAAAACCCAAACTTCAACCCGTTGCTCGAACAACATTAACGGTCGTTACAACTGTAACAACTGCACTCATATGTCCACCAATTCGAGTGGTCAGTCGGTGTCAGGTGGGACTCTCCGATGGCAGACAACATCAACAAGCACTTCCATCTCTTCCTGCTCCAACCCATCACATCCCCAAGCACAATCC